AGTAGACGACTCCTCAGCAGTGCGCATCCACGATCCATCATGCAAGATTCGAATCCATGAACTTCGGCCTCGTGCGCGAACGCTTAACCTACAGATCAATGAACCGACTCCCAGCGGTGTTAATAACTGATTTCAACCAATCCACGGTATTGCTCAACCGTACACCATTGTCTTTAGTGAGTGACTGCCTCACAATCGACGCTGTTTGACTCCACTGGTTACGTTTTCCCACTAGAACTCCAGGAAACATACCTTGAAGCCAGTCACTAATGAGCACATAACGATTATTATCAGAATGAGGGTTTGTGGAGATTGCAGTGATTTAATGGTTGGATTCATGAGTGGATTAAAGCTAGACCACCCTGTAAATCCTGTAAATACAGGACGACCGTTTTGTCCTAGTGTGGGACTCTCCAGCAGTGCACACCTGTGACCCCGCACGACAGATTCGAGTTAAAGAACTCCTGTCTTAAAGTTTTCTATTTCTTTTTCAGTAGTAATTTCATCAGATTCTGGGACTGAGTCACTTGACAAAATGAATTTTTGTAGAAGTGTTAAGTTACGAAAGTATAAATATCGTTCAGTCCACGTTTTTTCAATTTAAACAAGCTGTGGTCGAAATGTCCATTTACGGAAAATTTAGGGAATTTTTTGATCACTATTGTTCTGTCTGCTACTGTTAAACTGGTTATTAACTATTAAAAATCTTTGATAGTAACAGTTAAACATAAGAAACTTTCTGAATATCAACTTACTAGAAAGACTTCTGAAAATGATATTTGATTGTCTCTAATTTCTAATCACATAAATTTTAACTGAGAAGTACTAGAAAATGTTTTGTTTCAGTACGTGTCTTCAAAGTTTGGTTAAGGTTTCTTTGGAAATCATAATATTATATAAATTTTTTTAGACTTGATTGTTCTGTTGTGTGCACTACTTATGTCTACATAAGTAGTATATATCACTAATCGAAAGTGGAATGCCTAGCGGCAGAAGGTTGAGAAGATAGAAGAGAAGAAAACAAGAAAAGAGAGTGATTTGTATGGAAACGAAGGAACAAAAAATTTGAGACAAATGGTGGACATTTTGAAAATGAAGTATTTACCACATGGTTCTCAGATTTTACTGAGATATTCTGTCATTTCGTATTCAAGTACATTTGGTTGTCGCCACTGGTGTTCCCGTTCATCACACTATTTCGACTGTCAACGTATATATGTCCTGTAACGCTCATTAGTTTCTATTAAGTGGAAAAATATAGTTGATCTATTAGAAAAGAAGTTTTTCACCTCATGCAGAGGTGGATGGTATCTAGCAGGAGAATCGAGAACGATCGTTTCATTTTATTTCGGACTCATCACATGGATGTGCTTTCATCCTAGAGTCAATGTACACTCTTGGACTTAGTAGCATTCTTAAAATGCAATTGGAAAATCAAAAGAACCAATATATATGAGTTTTTCCGCCTATTTTAAGACCAAAGGCATAAATTGGATTGTTCGTATAATTTTAAAACAGCCATCAGTTTGACTCTTTTATATTAATTCATCCATCAAGAAGCCGGTAATATAGGACATAACGAGTAACGCATTATCAAACACTAAAAGCAACAGTTCCGATGATGGCTTAGTGAACATTGGTTTAAATTATATAATACGTAAATATTATAGTATTTGAATAAGGTCCGTTTCGTAGTTCTATGAGGTTCATCCTAGTTTTTTATCCATTAGCAGGTAACTTTAAATGTATTAAACATGATTAATTTTGTTCCTATAATTTACCAAACTTTTCTATAAGATTACTAGTTTTTATTTCATCTTATAATTCTCATGATTTTAATCTATGCTTCTTGATTAACAGTTTACCATAACTACATGTATTTAAAACAAATATACAGTCTACAATAATAGTTTGGTCAACAACAAAAACATCGATTATTGACAGAAGTTGAAATTACTTGACAACACGAAAGAAACATGACATGTTGATGTAGTAAAACTTATCATCTTAAATATCTGATTGCTTAAAATGTTTATGATTATAGTGGGATAAATTTAACCGTCATTTATATCTAGAAGCAAACAATTGTGTACTTGATTTGAAGCTGACTTACGTTTATAGAAAGAGAACATGAATTGTTGTGGGGGTTGTGGATAATTCAGTCTTCATAACTTGAAGAAATTTAAGAAGAGGCGATTCACTCTGTGGTTCAAAAATAAACATTATCTTGAGATCGATCGACACTGTGTTCGTCTGGAGCTTGAGTCTGTTTCACATATTACACATTATAAAGGAAGAACGTGAAACGGCATAAGCAGACCACCAAACAAATAAACCATACTACTTTTAAGGGAAATTTAAATAACATCGGTGAAACATACTATGAAGTTACCTATGAAGGAAATAATTAATGACGAAATATTTTGTTGTACTGATCATCCATCCTTAAACTTAATGGGACTAGACTTTATGTAAAAGACAAAATTATCAGACCATTCCGTATCACGGGGTTGTTTTTTAGCTTGCAAATACAATCTCCCCTATTTATCATTTTCTGTTCTTTAATTTCGTGTCATCCAAAATCTTGTAGCATAAGTAACTGTTTTTGATGAAAATTTGATGTTTCGGTCACCTATACACAACATTTTAAAATGGCTTACAAAAGTATAAAACCCTATCCAGAATCAATTTTGTAAGTATTCCTTGATTGAATCATTTGGATTAATTAAGTACATAAAGGACGTGAATATAAAAACAAAGACAGTGTGCTCCTTTGATGTGAACACTATTTACAAATGTACCTCTTAGGAAAACTATTGATATTTTATGTGACTGTATCATTGAATGACCTTCCAATGGTTATTCAATAGAATTAATCATTTTTGTACTAACGATACTATTAAAGTAGAGACGAAACTCTTGACTGAAACATTAATGACTAATGGTTATTCATTTAAATTCATAAACCGCTGGAGGAGTTTGCAATACAATTAGACTTATGACACTTCTGGTATCAAAAAAGCGAGTTTACATTATGTTACCATTTAGAGGCTACTCAAATAGTCTCATGTTGAAACGGAGACTCAACAGGACATCTTATTCAGCCCGACTTGTCATTATTGAAAATACGAGGTCTAAGCTTCACCAAAAACCCAAACAACATCTAAGAGATTGTGTCACATCCCAATGTGTCTATCAATTTACATGTATGTGCGGTACACGTACATATGGAGGAGCAATCGTGATTTGCAATTAAGAGTGGGTGAACACACACCAAAATGGCTGCAGAAACAAATGAATTCTAATGGTCAAATAAGATCACGGGATAGACAGACATCTTTCTCCAATGCGAAACATTCGGTTGAGACTGGTCGTAAGTTTGATTTCAAGGCAGCGTTTGTAGCGTTGTACGAAAACCTTCAAGGATGTATACTAAGGTTTAGTGAAGCCTCAGCTATACGGAAACTGAAACCGCCTTTGTGCACTGAAAAACAGTTTGTTCTTAACCTTAACCCATCCTGATAATACTGATTTTTTGTGTACTTTTTCTTTGTTACGGCCTACTATTGACCTGTCTAGCTGACCTTTCATTTTTCATATAAAAATGTCATAACAAGTATATGTGTGATCAGATTGTTCGAAATGTATTTCGCAAATATATCACATAATTCTGATAACCTTCGTCTTCTGAAAAGAAGACTCCCTACACAGTTTGTTTTTATTTTAATTCTCCGAAATCAAATGATTGAGAATTGTCTCTCGATTTTAAACAACAGGTTACTCCATAGAAGAGATTAAAAATGAATGATTTCATGAAGTTGAGAAAACTGAATGGGACACTATACATAAAGTTTCGAAAACTAAAAGCTGAATAATCCGGTCAACCAATGTTTATCTTGGGTGCTGACCACAAAACATTTATGTTATTTTCTTACTACTTGACATTCTGTAAACTCAGGGAAACTTCATTAAAGAATCAAACCTGCACAACTTGTTATCAAGACGAGAAAAAAAGTTGTTATTTGTTAAAATTAGAGTGAATTATATCCACTTTATTTTAATACTCTAAACTATGTGTCTCCATTTATAATAACTATAATCACTAACCCATTATAACGAAAAGTCCTTTAACTCCATCGTCTTGGTGTAGTTTATTAAAAAAACCAGTCATGAATGTTTCTGTTGCTAATCTTAAAAATATTTATATGAACAGAGGAATACGAATTATTTCATTTTTAGTGTCATAAATTTTATTATTTTCTCTAATAGTTTTGGTAATGATTTAGATATTTCGTGAATTTTACGATTATAAGGTTATGAAATGTATTTAAATTTACAAATTGAAGTTCACTATTAGTTTGAGTAAAGGTATCCCAATATCTTTCAACAGTTTATTGAGAAATAAGTATTTCACCATAACTAATCTGAAGTAACTTGTCTAGATAGTTAGAAACTCTTCATTTTTTAAATGTGACAGAAAATACCTGAATAGTATGTGCATGCTAGGATGATGTACTTATTCACTACTACTTGAGGTCGTGAAAAATATTCAACTGAAAATAAATTGATCCCTACTCAGTGATCAAAGACTTGTAGGTACATCTCAGTCCTAAAGACGTCAGTCTCGGTTCTACCAGCTCCGTAGTTAGGTCTCTAATTATGAAGCTGGATAACACGGGCCAAAAAGCACCAACTTGCTCAGGATTACAGGTATACCTCGCTGGAGACGACTGAATAGCACAATACCTTGTTCTATGAAGTCTTTTTGACTATTCCCAACTGTCACCAGACATTTCAACACACTAAACACAATGTATAGTTATTTATACTAGTCGCTACATTGAACCTGATCGATAGAACTCAATCAGTACTAAGAGGGATTTGACATACATAACATTAGTTAACTACTCAGTGATAAACCAATTGTAAACAGTAAGTAACTCTCCGTAAACCTGCATACAAAATCTTAGAAATTAAAATATCTTCAACATAATGCAAAATAAATTTTACAAATTTTTATTTCCTTTTATACTTCGTTTGTTTTCATTATATCATCTGATCACATTTATCAAGTATGTTATTATCAATATTAAAAGTGATACAATCCGTTTACATATGAATAATATAAATGAATTTAATTTATAAAACACAAGTATTGTGAAAATTTAAAGATAAAAAATAAATCAAATGGAATTTCTTAGAATTGTCAATATTTACCCAACTTAATTCTTGAGTTGTTGACATTATATTTGTGATCACCTAATGATTCATGTACAATAATGAATAATAAAAGCCTCTCCAGAAAATTGTTGATTACCCTGAACCTTGTAGCTTCACAACATTAGTTTTTTTTCTAGAATCTTTTTGAATGTTTCGAAGAAATAATAATGGAAAACCTGAACAACTTGATATTAATAATTGCCTCGCAAATTAGTGATACATCTTGAGCTGACAGTTAAGGCTGTTTTATTATTATTATTACTATTAATATGGTATCAGGTGAAATGATTACAATTAAGAAACAGTTATCAATTGCCACTTTACTGTTCATTTAACAATCTTCAAACAGATAGCTTTTCAGCTGAGAAACAAATAATATTCATACAATCGGGAACAAGTTTACAAAAGTGCAATAATTGTCAAACTTCTGAAATCCTCATTTTATAAGTTATGACAGTTTTTATGAATAAAAGATACATTGAAAGTCAAAAACAGTGATTTAAACTAGAAATTATTAGTAACAATAAAACATTTCAGCAGATCACGCTCATAAACATTTAATTCCGGGGAAATAGATATTATGACTAATTAGATTAACATTTATGGAAAAATAGGTAAGTTCACATCACTTTGCAAAGATGTCCCATTCAACGACGTTTAAATATTTTCAAACAGGAACCAGTAATAAATGTGAAATGTTCAATGAATTTGGCACGAATTGCTTGAATAAAAATAAGTAAGCTAAGTGTTCGGCTGACGAAATAGGTTATACGTACTAATTCAGTTGCACTGAATATTATACGTGATTTTTCAATGTAACCATAATTTTGAAAATAATAAAAAATAACCATATCTAAAATATTTGCTGTCGTTGATTCGAAAGACCAAATAATTATAAGTAACATTAGAATATGCTGTTGATTTGATGGATTGAAACCTCGGAAGTTTTTATTCGCACGTTTGATTTTTATGTAATGAATTAATATTAGAATATAACAAGTTGTTATGACAATAGCCGGTAAAATCAACAGTAATACTAGGCATAAATAACCAAAAATTAATAGTTGTTGAAGATGGAATTCATCTGCAGGATTTTGTCCTACAGTTACACACTTACCATTTGTATCTATTTGAACTAGGACAGTAAATCTCAAATTAATTGCTGTGATATATATCATGGCGAAACAATAGGATGCAACAACAGTTCGTGGATAGTCGAGTATATTTTTATTAGGATAAAATAGTTGGAAACATCGTTCTATCAACATTGACATAACATTATATTTACTGAACATAATGAATAGATTGTACATAAATGTACTACTCCACATATGACATACAATGAGTCGTAGCCATAGTTCATTAGTTTTAATACTTGGACAAAATGCATATAACATACCAGTAACTGAAGCGAGCCATTCAAATGTCATTTGTAACATTATCAATACACCAAGAAAATGTGTTCCAATGCTGACATTAAATATATAAAATAATAAAATTGGATTAAGACATATACTAATAGATGAGATTGCAAGCGTTATCGCATCAATGATATGTGAAACTGAATTTTTACCAAATACGAAGTTAATTATTCCATATTGTGTATCACACATTGTATTAGATTTCAGTTAGATTGAAAATATAAATCTTGTTTTACAAGGAATATTTTTTGAATTCCTGCAATTATTTTTTATGATAAATGGTACAAATATTATTACTTTATATGATTTACGAGTACATTTCTGATTGGCGACATTAACAGATTTATTGTAAGATAACTAGCTTAAATTATTTTAATTGGCTTAGAATACTTATCCCATGTGTCAATGGACTTTTATTACTTTGTTTTTGGGACTAAACATTAAATGTATTTACCGATGTAACTAAATACTTTAAATTGAAACCCTCATTTGTGGCTTTTTTTGTATTTCTGTCATAATACTGGCAATTGGAAATCACTGCAATCTCCATAACAGAAATCAGAACATAATCACAAAAAATGAGCAGTCAGTTGACACTCAAAAATAAATATACCATTTGAACATATTATTTATCATATAGTTTATGCAGATGAGGATTTATATTTGCATATAATAAAATGTCTAGTCAGTCAGTCAGCTAAATAGTAGGACCCAGCCCTCCTTGTGTGAAGGCGGCATCACTGTTATTCTGATTGTCTGTATAAAACACCTTACTGCAGTCACACCTCTGTACAATCGGCAGTATGACTTCCCACTCAGACATTGGTTTTGCTGCTTTCAGGCTTATCGTTTTTAAACCGAATTGTCTGGCACGGTAGGACCTTGAGAAACGATGGTTCCAGGCAGTCAAGCTCGCTTAATACATGATGATAGGCAAGGCCGCCCACCACATCAAGGTAGCAACAAAAGTCGGGTACTGTAATCGATATAGTATAGTATATATTGATTAGTCGGCGACGTAAACTATTAACAGAAATTTGACAGAAATGGGAAGATTAAGTAATTCACATGTATATATATATATATATATATATATATATATATATATATATATATATATATAAGCATTAAGTGAAACAGGACAAGTGTTAGGCGGCTGGGAGCATCAACATAAACAGTTCATCTCTATAGAAACCCCAGACAAGATTCAAAAAAACGAAGAACAAGAACACAGGAAATAACGGCAGTCGAAAAAGAACAGAGAATGTCAAGGTACAGATCGAATAAACAGAAGTAAATAAGAAAGTGAAGTGGAGCATTACAGCCGACAAGCAGAAATACGCGGAACACGTAGCAGAGACAGCTGATAAAGCAACAAGAGAAGACGACATGAGACAACTATCTGATCTAAAGAAGAAACAAGCAGGGAAATATTATAAATCAGAGTAACCAGTCAAAAACAAAGGAAGTAAGACAATCACTGGGATCTAACAACAGCGGAACGGGTGGTCAGAACACATTGAACAACTCATGAATAAATCAGACCCACTGAACACATCGGACATCGAAGCAACACCTACAGACGTTCTGTATAATCCACTCACGAACATCTTTAACGGATCTTTCACAGCTAATCGCATAAAGAAAATTTGGAGAAAGATAAAGATAATCCTAATTAATATCTAAGAAAGTGTCTGGTAATATGAACGTGAAGTTTAGACCTATAGCATTAATTTCACATTCTCTCAAAACAATGGAAAAATGATTGATACTCCCACTTCGACCTGCACTAAACGAGCAAATTGATCCATATCAGTTTGTTTAAAAAGTAAAAGAAGCTTCTTAAATGCTACTGTTGTTCTGTATCATAATACAGTGTTCAGCTCGAAAATGGGTAAGAAGCATGTTCCATGTGGTTATCTGGACTATACCTCTGCCTTTGACTAGATTTCAGGACAACTTCTACATAACAAGTTGATCAGAGCCAAAACTGACAGCTGCATAACCAGCTGGTTATGTTCTTACCACTCTGGAAGAGAACAGAACACTGTTTGTGGGAAATTGTTTGAAGTCTCCAATATCTCATGAAGGTGTGCCACAAGGAGCTGTTCTTTCCCCCTCTTTTTTCCCTTCTTTTCTTCATGGTCTGCCATCCACCACAGAAAACACCTGTTAAATATGCGGACGATCTCACTGTATGTGTGCCGATTTCTATCTATTCAAATCCCCTTGAAATGAATGAGATCTTGTCTCACATCGAACGATGGTCTATTGTTAATGGTCGCACACCTAATCTGACTAAATATCAGACTGTGAACTAAAACCTGGAACATGAACAGCATCTAAACACCCTGTTGGAATCTCGCAGAGGTTGTACTATTGGTGATTCTTTAGTAAAGGTCATTTATCTTGGTGTAAGTTCCTCCTTTGATCTCTGTTGGTTTTCTTATACTTTATTGTTATCGAAGGAAGTTCTCCATCTGACCTACTACATAAAGAAGCCGCATGGTTTGCCATTACTGGACATTCACTGATACGATTTGTTAATTCTTGTACATTTCCTATTATTCTTTACTATTGTACATCAATTTTCCCGGGATTTTGAGAAAAAAGACTTTGCTGTATTGCGGAGAGTGCTGAATGCAGTTAGCAAAGTGTGTGGTGAATCATTTGGAGTCACTATTAATACAGTTGAGGGTATACATCTAAAGTCTAATCAGCTCCTGTTAAATGTTATCTTATCAGACAATAAACATCCACCTCATTCACATCGTTCTCCATGTATATCATCTAGTAGAAAGATACCTAAATACATTAGAGTCCACTCACGCAAGAAACAGTATAAAAACTGTACAATACCTCAACTAGGAAATATATTATGTGACGAACAGAGAGTTAGAGATGCCCTAGTCAATAACTTGTAGTCTTAAACATCTTTCTAATTAAAAACGTTGTACACATTCAAATCTTCAGTAACCATAGTTTCCTTGAGTAACAGGTGGTTTACCTACTTAACTTATATATATACAATTATCAGTTTATTTCACAATATTTCCTCTCTGTTGTGCAAAGAAACTTGTTGAAATACCTTGTACTGAAAATTCTCTATTGTACCGAAAATATAACATTGAATAAAGCAATTAACAATGATAATAATAATAGTAAGTAGATTATTAATTTAATCTTTCCCCTCCACAGCTGAATTTCATTCGGATTACTTCAGTGTATTTTGTTTCAGTTAAACATTTACAATTTTAGCATAAAACAGTTCTTAAAATAAATTTCCTCTGAAGCACGATCTACAAACGGTTATTTATTAAATTACCATACGTGGGACGTGAACAGTGTTTGGTTTATTAAAAAAATTGGAGACAATTTGGGTGGATATTTATATTGAGATGAGATCAACAGTAACATTATTTGAACAAAATATTTTAGTCGAGAATACATTTTATTTTGATATCATCACAAGTTATTTTTACCCCTTTTGTCTTTGTACACAAATCGATTTGCAATTGTAAACGTTTCTATTGTCAGATTTTTTTCAAAATTACCCACTTTTACTTTCTAATATTCTTTGATTAATAGATAAAGTTTAAACGTTAGAATAACTAACTCAATACTGTAACACACGTTATAGTATTATGTATTGGATTTGGTTTGTTGTACTCGTACATTGTAACCTTACTACTGCATTGGATATATTCTTGTGAAAGACCTATATTTCATTAAAGTTATAAGTTTATTTTTCCAGTCAACTTACATGGTAAGAAAACACTGATTGATATTTATCTGACGGTTACTTGAATGATTTGTCACAATCATTTTATCCATTTGTCTCAAAGTAATCAACTGACTAATTGACACTTATTCAGGATACACTTAAAATATTTCGCTTTACAATATATATATATATATATATATATATATATATATATATATATATATATATATATATATATATATATATATATATATGTAAATTATATTTGAAACAATCTCAGCGATTGAAATTTAAATAATTCCAACGTTTCGTCCAGCCAACTTGTCTGGACTTCTTCAGGGTAATAATCAAAATGAAAATCATCAAAGAGACATAGCTTTTAACAATCATAACTGTACTTTGTTAAACCAATCAAATTTTTGATGTTGACTTTTGTAACATAGGATATAATGAGTCAGTTAACTGCAAATCGTTTGAAAAATTCAACTACATGGAAATAATTATCTGTAATAAAATCAAGTGTATATATGTGTGTGTGTGAGTGCGTAGTATGTATGTATATGTGAGATTAATTATTGATATTCTGTGTTATTATGTTATGTATGGATGGATAATTAAATAAATAAATAAAAGTGCAAGTTCAAGGTTGAATAATTGTAAATGAATGATCGATGTACTTGTCAAAATTTAAGAATCCAACATATACATAATTGCATTGCTAAAGCCTCATTGAATTCATTCAGTGATAACGATGCATTTGAAATAAACAGGTTGAAACATAAAAGATAGGGTTCAAATTACTTGTTCAACGATATTTGCCAGGTATTCACCAGTTGAATACCATCTTTTCGGTTCAGGCTGTTCTTGTTCACCCATATATACAGCGCTTTTGCTGTCAATCTTTCTTTATGGGTGTTAAAACCTTTCTGAAGTATTTTGGCTCCTTCAAAATTGATCTTGTGCCCTGTTTCTAACGCATGTAACGCTATCGCCGACTTATTCTCTAGCTTCTTCAAATCAACCGAGGATTTGGGAACATTTTTCAAACATTGTTTGTGTTCCTTCAACCTTACATTCAATTGTCTGGATGTTTCTCCAACATAGGCAGCATTACAGTCATGACAGTTGATCTCATACACAACATTCTGTTGTCCTTTCTTTGGTAACCTGTCTTTGACTTTCACTAATGTCGATCTTAAGGTGTTAGTCGCCCTAAAATACACTCTTATATTATGTTTGTTAAGGATTCTTTTTATTTCTTCTGATGTTTCACAACGGTATGGTATGACTACAGTGTACTTCCAATCTTTTCGTATACCTTCTAGTTTAGTTTTTCTCTCATTTTTAATAATCTTCTTTAAAAACTCTTTTGGGTAGTTGTTATCCCTAAGAGTAGAGAATACTTGATTTAATTCAGTTCATTGACCTTCTTATCTGTAACAAGCTTAGTGCTTCTGTTAATTAAATTTTTTACAACGTTAACTTTCGTGCATTGTGCATGTGCTGAATCAAAATCTAAATATCTCTCCGAGTGTGTTGGTTTTCTGTAGACATTTATTTTCAACTTTTTATTATTGTGTCGACGTTCGACTAGAAATGCTAGTTTGTGGTCCTCTGATTCTAGTTCTTTCGTTAACTTAATGTTTTCTGACATACCGTTTACATTGTTAAATAAATATTCCAAACTATCCCGTTTATTGATGATAAAAATATCGCCATAACTTTGGTGGATATACAATTCTTGTGATTACACTAATTTCTAGGGAATGCATGAATAAAATCGCTACAATCGGAGAAACTGGCGAGCCCATTGCTATCCCCTCTCTCTGTCTGTAAAGGTGACCTCGAAATATGAATAAGGTAGATCTGAAACATAATTCTAAACATTTGATAACTTCCGATGGATCTAATGGGCATCGTAAATTCAAATCTGAATCAAATTCTAAACAATCATTGATAAAATCCAAGGCTTTATTAACCGGTACATTAGTGAATAAAGAGGACACATCAAAACTTGCCATTATTTCATCATCTTCTATATCGATGGTATCAGTCATGTTCCTGAATTCCATAGAGTTTTTAATTCCATGTTTGATCAGTTTTTCATAGGGTTTGAGAATCTTAGCTAAATACTTGGCTAGATTGTAAGTCGGTGAATTCGTAAAATCTACCACTGGTCTTAGTGGAGTATTATTCTTGTGAGTCTTTGGTAGTCCATAAAATCTGCATGGGTTACCACTCTTAGGATATAATTTAAACCATAAGGACAATCCATGCTTGTTCTTTAATGACTGTAAGAGCTTGCTGGTTTCCGTCTTAAGTTTATTAAGGGTTGCTCTACTTTTGGTTTCATTAATTTGTTCATAACGTCCTTCTTGTAGATGTTCCTTGACTTTTTTCTCATATTCTGTTTTATTCATAATTGCTGTAGTGTTACCCTTATCCGCTCTTGTGATTATAATTGTTTTGTCCTCTCTCAATTGTTTTAAAGCATAAAATTCATTTTTGTTTATGTTAGGATTCTGAGGTTTCTGACGTACAGATGTGCTCATTATTTTATTCCTCAGTTCATTCGCTGTTTCATTCCGTAGTAGTACATTCAGGGCTGGTTCAATTGTTGGTATAACATTGAAGGGCGTTAATTTATGTCTATTTATATTGAAGTTTAGACCCTTTTTAAGTAATGATATCTCGTGTGGATTGAGATTTCTATCCGATAGATTAACAATAAGTTTATTCAAATCTTGTGTGTTTGATCTGTTTTTAGTCTGTTGAGTTTTGTTGTATAAAGTATGTTTCGACATTTTTTCAAACTTCCTAATCTGTCGTTGTTATGATGGTTGACAATAAAATTGTTCTCCGTGTTTAAAAAATTCATTTATATATGATCTTATTTCTTTCGGTGAGATAACTGACAATATATCATCGATAATACAAACCCTTGAACGTAGTGACTCCAAATTCATAGTGGCTTTGTGGATACGTTCTCTGATAAATGTTCTAGTGGCTGTAATCGCCGCTTTTTGTGACCGAATAGAATTGTCTGGAGATTTGACCATCAAAGATTTGGGAAAAAACATTTTCTTTTAAACATCGTATATTAAAAATTCTTTGATTGTACCAGTTACGTATTTTCTTTGATAACCTAATTCGATTGGAAAATAATTTATACGTATAGTTTGACAGATATTGGGCGCCGTGTATAGAGAAGTCATTATATATGTAAATTATATTTGAAACAATCTCAGCGATTGAAATTTAAATAATTCCAACGTTTCGTCCAGCCAACTTGTCTGGACTTCTTCAGGGTAATATATATATCTATATATGGTTTATTATTATTATTTTTTGTTGTTTATTAGAAATTCAGGTGATACATGATGTGTAGTTGCAGTCTTTGCATCAGTAGGCCTCAAAATACACAAGGCAATAAGCATTATCCTTAAATATAACACAGAGAACAACAACTCATTCACACTTGATGGAGAAACTCTGGAAGAGGTGGAAACCTTCTCGTACTTGGCCAGTATCATTTATGGACAAAGAGTATCTGATGAAGATATAAAGGCAAGTATTGGTAAAGCTAGGGATGTATTCCTACAGTTGAAGGATATATGGAACTGAAAACAACTGTTAGTCAACATCAAAGTTAGAATCTTTAATACGAACATCAAAATAGTTTTCTTGTACGTTGCTGAGACTTCGAGAACTACTTTAAACATCATCGAAATTGTACAAGTATTTTTAAACAATGGTCTACGCAATGTACTCCAGATCGGTTGGCCGGATACAGTCAGCAATAAACATATTTTGGGTGAGAATAAATCAACTTCTAGCTTAAGAGGAAATTAGGAAAAGACGCTGGAGGTGGATAGGACATATATTGTGAAAATCATCAGACTGTATCATGAATTGAGCCCTAACTCACAATCCTTAAGGCAAAACTAAAGAGACAAGCCAATACACACATGGGTGAGTAAACTGTAACAGGACTAAGTAAGTATGAAACATAAGGTTCAACTTGAGTCAACGATATAGAATATAGTGTCGTTTATTACTGGTAGTGGCTCCACTATCATTTTTCGTAGAAAACGATGATGCTTTCTTGGAACTAGGTTTTAGTTCTCACCTTCTTTACCTCCGTAAATTTTAGCAGACTCCCTGGGAGTAACAGGTGCATATAAACTTGCATTAAACTTATGTTACCCCATCAGTAACCGATTTACATGTTATTTTTTATCAAATGATGATATCGCTGTAACTTAGGCTATCCTGAAACTCTATATTTGATGTTATCTTTTCTGGTATAAGGTTTTCTTCATTAAGTGTTTCAGTTGCTACAGAAAGAGACTAAAATAAACGTAAAAGTTATGTAACAAATAAATTGATAAGATTAGATTATTGCTATGAAATGTTAACATAAAAGTACGGCTTAAAGTCCAATGTAATTTGATTCCAAACAATATGCACAAAAATAAAATTGTACTTTAAACCATAATTATATAAGTCCAAACTACAAATCCTATTTAACAAACAACAATACTTTTTAGTTTTAAAAACTCATAGTTTATCTATCTGTTGATATGCTCATTTACTATTTGCCTAATTTTATGATGTTAAAGATCTACAGTAACAACAGCTAGACCGGACCTTGAATTTCAAGAGACATGCTTACCAAGCTCTTGCTTTTGAACTTGTCTTTGAACCATGATGTCTATGTGAGGGTTAATGATACTATTGAATCGTTCTAATTGTGCTATGTAGAGTCGAGTTCAAACCTGAGACCTATGGATTGAATTGATCAAAAGGTTACAGTATGCATTTAATTATAAAAACATCCAGGTAGAATCACCAGCAATCATACGTAAAATATTGGTTGGAAATGAGGACATAAACCTGTACATAAGTAACATCATCCCGAAAAATCTATCATTCGCTCCTAAAAATGAAAATTAGAAACGGTTGAAATATCTAGGACTTTAGCCCATATTTGAAAACTTTTCCATTCGTAACAGTGTAAATTTGAGATTTATAATAAATAACAAAATAATAATAATAAAAA